TTGTTATTGGGGGCATTTAGTGCACTAGATAAGGTATACCGCATGTGTTAGCCACATAGCTCTTAAAAAGTGCGCTGTGGGAGGTATAGATCATTGTAGCAGTGGAGATATGTTTGCAGATTTTGCATCTGTTATAGGAGGGTCTGGTGCAGCTTTGAGTTGATAGGCCCTAGTCTGTGGGGAGCTTGAAACCATTAATGACTATTTTAAAGGGGGGGGGAAAAAGGCAAAAAATTTCTGTCAGCAAATAACTTTACTACCATCTCATGAGATAGGTTCACTGCCTCCTCTGCATTTAATCCTCTCTCATGTCCTATTCTGTTTTTTAAAAAATTCTTTCAGGCTTTTTTTTTTTTAATTAATTATACAAATCATTAGTATTAAAAAGGTAATGTAATGGTTTCAAGAACAAGCTTCACAGACTATCTGCATATTTAATAATCTCTACTAATAAATTTTTAATCATTCATTGAGTTCAGGTTCTTGTCTTGAAGCTTAACTTGATAACAAACCTAGCAACTGGTAGAACTAATTGGTACAGAACACGTGAATAATTTATAAGAGGAAAAAGCACTGGGTGTTCTGAAGGTGCGCAGAGACCGCCAGTCACAGATATTTCCGGGAGGCAATAGGCAAATAACAGCAGATTGTAGGAATTCCATGATACACTGGTGACATCCAGAGGCCAGCTTTCAATATTGTTCACATTCCTTTCGGTTAGACTATAAAGCCAACTATAAAGTCAGATTCATTACATTTTAAATATTCATACATTTCATTAACGTTAACATTAATTGGGCTACCATACATATTGATTATGCATAGACCATCAAGTGTTTAACCTCCGAAAGCTTGCAAGCGTCAAATAACACAGTGTGTCCCATCTTGGATGACTTCAGTGAAATCTTCAGCTATGGCCTGAATTAGGAAAAATTACATTCCAATGCTAAAGGATAACAATTTAAAATATCAGAAGTAATAAAAAAATTAAATTGTATTAACTGAATGGGAGAATTGGTGCAAGTTATGTCTTGCTTCCATATGTTTGCAAAAAAAATAACTGTAAAACATTTGGAAAACTAATAAAAAGGTAGTAAAATCTCATTGACTGATAGACTACTTAAAGTATAGTGTGGAAGCTTCCAATTACATATTTATAAAAATGTTTAACACTCAAAATATAAATTAAATTAGAGTCAGGTGCTCTTCTTTTGGTGAAAATGACAATTTCAAATTGTATATCATATTAAAAACAAGATGATTGATCTCTTGAACCAGGAAAGGTAAAGTCAGTTGACAATATTTAATAACAAAAGAAATCTACAAAATAGATTTTTCTTCCCTCAGAGAAAACTGAATACTACAATCCCAAAAATAGAATGCCTATGCCACTGGCAACTTTTGACAGAAGACTGAATTCTTCCTGAAAGAACCAAATTTTAGCCAATTATATAGCTAAAGCTGTAGTATGTATTAGGTTAGCTATGACTCAAAACACTTCAGATCATACCTAACTTTAAGCATGTGCTTTAAGTCAATTTGACTTGAGCACATAAAATGCTTGGTTGAATTGAGGACTTGCCTGTTACATACAAAAAATTTACAATCTTAATAAAACCTTGGAGTTTTTTTACTTTACATTAAGAGAGTTAGGAAATGGCAGATATGTCATGTAAACTGAATTCTGCTCTTTGAACATATGTATTTGATAGTCTTTAATTATATAATCAATTTTCTTTCCTCACAGATCCCCTCCCTCAGGGCACAGGATAAAACAGTCTCAAAGAATGAGGTAGCTGTTTAATACTTTTTTATTCTCATCATACACTGTGTGTCACTATGCCTTATTTACTGTTCACCATCCAAATTCTGCACTGAATACTGAATTCTCTTTTCAGGAGGTTTTCTGTAACAGTCAATGCTGTAGCATCAAAGTGTCTCTCAAACTTTAATGAGTGCATGTTCATTTGAGAGAAACATTCCTATCATCCCCATTTTACAGAGTGCAAACTGAGGCACAGAGACTACAGCCAAAATTTGAAGTATGCGCATTAATTATGGTTCCTCAACAATTGGGCATCCAACTTGAGACATCTTGGAACAATTTTTCAAAACATTTAACATTTTTAATGTACAGGAGTTTTGCCATTGACTTCAAAGTGTCCCAAATTTCACCCTTTATACATTCCATGCACTGTGCAGACACTAACTAATCCTCACAACATGAGGTAGGTGAGAAAGTATCATCCCTATTTTGCAGATGAGGAAGCTGTCAGAGTCCCAAAGTCACATAGAAATTAAATGGTGGAGCCAGCATTGGAACTCATGATCTCTGGATTGCCTTCTCAACTTGGGCACTAAGAAAATGAGAAATACATAATTAGGGGCCACCTGGCAAATTTTTGGTTTAAGTGACAGCATCACATTGAAAGTTTGTGGTAGAGGCAAGGATAGAAGTAAGTTATCCTGGGTGAGATTCATCTGTCTTATTCACTATGTGGCTTCCAACTTTTACTGCAAATGAGGCACAGTCCATCCTGTGTAACCTTAATGAGTGGCTAACAGAGAGCTTGATAAACAAGTCTGTACAATTTTGCCTGTTTAAGACTTTTTTGGAATGCCAATAGTTTACACGTTAACCTCTCATTGAAGTTGCTTTTTTAGGTACTTCTACCACTATAATTTGATCAAAAAGCTTTTTTTTTTTTTTTTTTTTTTTAAAGTGTTTTTAAATATCAACTTAGATTTTTACTACTTGTAATATTTGGGTTTTATCAATGCTCTCAAACACTACACAAATAAAAGAAAATGTGCATATTTGAAAATAAGATTTTACATTCTCAGATGAATTTCAGCATAATTTTCTGCTTTAGACTATTTTGTCAGAAGGATTGTTAAAGTAAAACAAAAGACAACATTTTTGTTTTGAATACTGCCCAGGTGAAAAGCATTAAAAATGTTCAAACAGTATGCCAGCTCACTGTACTATATTTTTCCCTTAATTTAGCATTTGTGAAAAGTTCTGGATTGGAGAGCCATGGAGTCCTCTGTCCCTAGGATAGATAAAGCCAAGTTGGTAGTTCAAACTTCTGAACTTACATTTCTCATCCCTGACCTAGAGGGACCCAAGGTGAAAGGATTTGGTCTCCACTTTCATTCAGGGGTTAACTTTTCAACTGAGAAAGCTGACGACTTGACTGCCAGAATGGCAATTATGGTATTTTTGAAAATGACACTTTCCCGCTATGAAATGGACCAAAGTAAACAACTTGTTTTAGCTGTCAGATGACAACCTGTGGTCATTATTTGCCTCGGACAGTGATGTGGAGGAAGTTGCTCTCTTTCTCACATTTGCAATCCCTGGAGTCGTGCAATGCCCGCAAGTAAACCTAAATACATGGTTAAATTGGGGTTCAATACATTTCATTAAATAATGCAATAGCAGCTTGGGAGCATTTTTAATTAAAATTATTCTTAGAATAAAATTTGAGTTTATTTTCAAGTTTAATTTAAAAGTTGAATGTATTTGGGATGCAAAAACCTTAAAATTCAGTATTAATTCGAATGAGATGCTGGGCAACACAAGTTGCATCTTCAATGCATGTTCTGGAATGTTGCTTCTCTTAGGCCTGGTCTCTAGTAGAAAATTATGCCAGCTTAACTACATGACTCAGGAATGTGAAAAATCAATTCCCCTGAGTGGTGTAGTTAGCTGACCTAACCCCCACTATAGACAACATTAGGTTGATGGAAGAGTTCTTCCTTTGACGGGAACGGGAACTACCTGTCTCAATGGGGAACCCCTCCTGTTGGCGTAGTTAGTGTCTACACTGAAGTGCTACAGTGGTGCAGCAGTGATACTACACTGTTGTATTTCAAGTGTAGACAAGCCCTCAGGCTCTACTGTCATTCTGAAAAACATTCAAGAGGGAAGGGGCTCTGGTGTGTGGCACAGATTGGGGAGGGGTATTTTTGTTTGTTTGTTTGTTTTTTAGTTTTTATGGAAGTACTAGAAGCTGAGTGGCTATTTAAAGGCCTTTTGGAAATGGGCTGGTCGCTAATATTGCAAATTTGAACTAGTTGCTTTCCAGTTGGTCAATAGTGCAATCTTATCAGCAATCAGACTGTTAATAGTGTAAGCAATAGTTTGGGGAGGTTTTTTTTTTTTTTTTTTTTGAACCACAGACAGACAGCCACAATCCAGTTTAACTCTTATCTTGGGAGGGGATAGCATTCCACATACCCTTACTTCCAAAATAGAACACTAAAATCAGGGCCCTCTTAAGTGCCTATGGATAAATAAAAAATTGCACATGTACACATGCACATTATGTGCACTACAAAATACATATATGCATGCTCATATGCATATATGTTCCAAATCTGTATAATAAAATGTGGTTCAAGTCACTACTTAAAAGAGAAAACCTATAAAGGTTTACAGCAGCAATAGTACAATTCATAACACAACTGATCCAGAATTAGTCAAGATATTAGAAGTAATTTTAATGGGTTAATTCAGAATATTTTCACTTTTGAATGGAATAAGCCACAAAATAGCATTTAAAAATATAGTGCAAAATAATTGTTTTATTACAAATTAAGTACAATCCAGCTTCTAGAGTTTTTCCACCCAAAGTTGATGTTATACTCCACACACACACACACACACACACACACAATTTCTATTCCACAGTGTAGAGTATTTCTGAATGCAATTAACTCATTTATTAGTCATCTATTACTAACAAGGAGGCACTCTCCAATTTTATTTTGGTAAATAAAGTTGCATAATATTAAAAATATCTGTTTGCATTTGAAAAAGATTCCAGTGCTGCAACATTACATAATTTCACATGAAATATTTTTTTCTGAAGTTCATTTGACTGTAAAGTTATTTTGCAGTGACAATTACAATGCAAAGTACTTTCTGTACAGAGCATATAAACTTTTCTTTGCATCTGAAATTCACAACTATTTCAATATAATGACTTCCCCCCCAGGAAATTGCCTTGGAAAAGTGTTCTAGCATCTCCTTTTTTCTATTTGGTGAACCAACTTGGTTTTGGTTAAAGAGCAATTCGGGCACAATAGTGTTTTAACTTGCAAGGTAATACTCCTTTATTGAGCTGGTAGAACTCCACAAGCTGGATGATATCAGTAAATCTGGTGTGACCATCATCCAGTGTATAGAATAGCTTTCCATCATCTTCCAGCTGTAAAAGGGGAAAAAAACAAAAAATAACAAGACACTATTGAGCTACAGTGTTTGTCAGACATTCAAAATATGTACATTGTTGATTTTTAATGAAATCAGGCCTTGTGACATCTTTGTGTAGATTCATGCTCCTGAGTTATTTATAGTCTGTGGGGAAGGGGAAAAGCTTAGTGTTCATTCATAGCAAATTCAGAAGTGACCAGTAGAAAAGTAGTGCATTCTCTAACTTCTTGTCAATTTTAGGTAAATGCATAAGGTAAAAGGAAGCAACATTAGGCCATGAAAATTGCTAACATCAGCCTATTATGCCTTTGCTTTTATTCAGAAAGAACATCTGATGATAGCACATGCAAAGATTTAATTGGAACCATAAAAACCTTGAGCCTTCATAAAACAAGAAATCTGAATTTAGGCATACTCTCTTTCTCTCCAAAGAGGTGTCATATTAGAACTACTTTTTGCCCTACGCTCGTTATACTCAATTTTCTGTGTACCTAATATATTTTGTGTAGCAGCGGGTGGCTGTATATTCATAGTTACTTTTGTGCATTGACGTAGCCTTTGTTGCAGAAGGTGCTTCCAGGCAGGAGCCTTCTACTGTTGGTTACCACGATGGTGGCAGCACAGTAATATGTTCATTGCTGCCGGAGGCAGCAACAGGGGAGCAGGAGGAGAGGGAAAAAGAGAGAGAGACTCCTGCTGCTCCAGATAGCCATGTGTATACTAGCACGCTAACCACAGGAAAAAAGAGAGGGAGGAGAATACCCACTGTAAGGTTACCTTGGCTAACTTTAAAATCCATACACACACACACACACACACACACACACACACACACACACAAAAAGATTTACAGGGAATATTTCCAATTTTAAACTATTACAAATGAATAGCCCCATAATTTGCATCACCTAATTAATTCTTAAACTAATTCTTTGGCTAATAGAATATCCTCAATCAGCAGAAAAGGGAATCTGAAGCCCTGGTACTAAAACATTTGATACTTAACAGTAATATTGATCAATTAATGAAAGAAGGCAATTTATCGACAGTGGATAGTAGTGCACAAAAGAAGCCTCTAAAATGGTGATCACATTGCAGCAGCAGTTACTGCAGCACAGAGGAAAGATGTAACCATCCTTCTGGGATGGATAAAATTGGTTCTCTTACCTGTAATTAAGGTTTCTCAGTGTAAGCAGCAATTGCACTGGCCACAACTACTGGGTTATCCTACCCATTCTAAGTCTGGAGGCAGCTTCTAAGTTCCTTTTTTTCAGATTTCACCAGTCCAGGACAAACACTACTAGGTAAGGAAGTGTTAACATATGTCACACTACGGGTCTGATTATGCCTATTTTCCAGCAAGAAATATGAAGATACACAGTCATCCATGGGACTCTACGCATGCATACAACTATCATGCCAACATGATAGACATTGCAGAGCTGAAACATTCAGGAGAGCAGAGGCATTTGTTAATCAGGAATTAAAATGTAACAATGTTTTTTGTTATTCCCAAACCGATGTTTGCCTTGAACTGAATTGCATGAATATTTCCTCAAGGGAAACACAGCTCTTCAGCAGATTAATGAGGAAACCATAGTGTCCAAGAATCTGACATGTTCAGCATGTTTGCAAGGTTGTTATTCTGAATGATCAAGTTTTTATTAGAAGATGATTGTCCGAGAACTAGTGTAATTGTATCCCCTTCCTCTCTCAACTTGAACAGCTGAATAGCCATTAGCTTTCTAGACATTAGAAGAGCAGAATATATGGTGATTAATTGATAGTGGTGGCCCAGAGTCAAAGCATAAATTGGGAATGGAACATACAGCAGTGAAGGATTTATTTTTTTAAAGGAACATTCAAACATTTTCATAGATGGTGCATCTCAAAGAGAAATTGTCTCCTACCATTTCCCCTTCCAACTTTCCAATCACACATCCATTTGTGATCGTGCAACATCCCCGCATGAATTGCTAAATAAATTGCTAATATTGGAGAAGCTGGAGAAATGCTGCTCTACGTCCATTAAATACAGGAACTCATTTGATGTGTTCTCTCAGATCTGGCAGGCTAGAGGCCTTGTGCAAAAGCAGACATTATTAACAGATCAATTTAAGTTTCACTCATCTAAAACTTGGCAAAAACCTCCAATCCTTTGGGGATCTGAAGAACCTGAAGCAGAATTCCTGACTTTAGTGATCTGTGGGAACTGGGCTGATTGTATCATTTTTTACACAAATGAAACAGTTTTTTCCCCCCAGATACCTGGAAAAAGCTGAGGTGAGGAATTAGTTTGGAGGGACAAGTACCCCTTGTCTAGGATTACTAGGCCATACATTTGCCCATGCATGTCATCCTTCCTTCTAAGCAATTAATTAATGGAGATGCTGGAGCCATCAGAATTTGATGGGGAAAATAATTGTTTAAAAAATAGATGCCAACTCCTTTCCAAATCTATTTTGTGAAAGTGAAGCATGCCATCCTTCGGACAGGTGTGGGATTAAAATAATCATGTGTTTTAGGGAAATGTCTTAAAAAAAAAAATCACCAAAGTCTCAGGCCCCTGCTCCATCCACTGAGATCAATATCTTCCTACACAGAAAGCACTCTTGGCACAGGTATAAGAAGGAGGGATCAATATTTGGAATGGATGAGAATTTTAGAATATTGTCCTTTTGGACCGATTTTCATGAGGATCGGTTTCTTGTGCTCTCTCTTTCTGGCTTGAATTGTTCTGATTTACACTATTTTTTCTAGTGACTGCGGAATAGGATAAACTGCTTTGCCTTTTTTACTTTTCGTTTTAAGAGAATCTTGTTTGGATTGAAGTGATGTAGACAAAGGTTCCTCAATTTCCAAAATGGTATGAATAAATGTGATGAGATCTTCCAGATCATCCTATGGACAAGTTGGCCTGACTCTTGACTGCGAATGCTACCAAGCAGATATTTCCTCTTCCTCCACCAGGGATCCTATTTCAGGAGAGAAAGGTTTTAGCAGCCATAAAGGATGAACAATACTTGTATTTTTTGCACAGTGCTTCTGTTTGGCAGAGCAACCTGCAGAGGTACAGGAGAAATTACTGGCTTTTTGAGGAGGGAAGAAGAGTCATCTCTGGGTCAGAGGGAAGGGGAACTTTCTAAAGAGTAACTGAAGTTTCCTGCACAGGAGAAGTTAAAGAACTAGGGGCCTGTTTCCTGGTAGGGGAAAGAGGAGGTAGTCTCTGAAGTTGGCAAGTCAAAGGGGTGCCATCCTGATGGGACTGAATCATTCAGTTTTCGTATGGAATCTAAGAAGCTGTTTCAACTCTATTCCATCTGATCTAAGGACAGATAGAAATAACTGGATACGGAGGTACATCGTCAGTGGCCCTGACTATAGAGAACACAGGGTGGGTCCAAAGAGGAAAGACACTGGTGCCAAGAGTCATGTCCTTGAACTATTTAGGCCAGAGATACCACCACCCCAGCTGGCCAAGCAGTGCAAAACTGTGGACATTTTTCTCCTGGCACTGACTTTGCTTAATGGTTCACAATGCTTAAGGGGTTACGGGCTGGTTTTCAAGCACCTAGATCAGATTTACTGAATCCCCTGAAGTGTTTCAGCTCCATTGTGCAGCAAAGAGGAAGGTTTCTAGGATGCTGGCTACAGGAGCAGGGTGAAGCACAGAAATACCAAATGGTGGCCCTCTGAAATCTCTCACTGGAGCCACTGAGCACCAGTGAGTCAAGGGAAAGAGCATTTGGGGAAGTGCCCAGTCCTGCAGAATAGAAGAATCCCCTGAAAAAACCAACAGGGGAAGCTAATTATCAAGAGGCCTGGAGATTGTGTGTAGAAGACAGTCTGGGAGGGACATTCTTTTTGGAAAGAGAAATAGTAGCTGTGGCTCCTAGATAAATGCAAAGCACTAGGGCTAAAGCAGGCATTGAAAATATATTTCAACAAGGCAGGATGGAAAGAAAGTGGAAGAACTTTAATACCGCCTCCAGAGTCAGTGGAATGGATGGGATTACCCCACTGTCATGTCAAGAGCATCACATGCTATGTAATTGCTTTCACTGAGAAAGTAATGGAAATATGGCTGTACTTCAGTAAACCCACAAGAGATTTCAAGATTAACCCCAGGTAATTGATCAATTTTAACCAAAAAGTGAATGTACACTGAGGAAGAGTGAGAATACCTATCCACCCTACTGGCCCTTGTACATAGATACACCAAGGCAACATGAGGCAGGAAATGGGGCCTCTGAGGCTGGATGGAATCTGGGGGACACTTTAGGATATTAAAAATACTAATATTGTAAAATTGCAATGGGTTATGCCAGATATGCTATGTAAGGTATCTGCAAAAATGTTATAATTTGCCACGTATTATAATCTCTTTAATGTGTTTGTATCACCTTTGTATTGTAACTTATCTCGATGGTATGTCTGTATTCCAAACTTGTGCTGTGCATCTGGGTGACACCCCCAGACAGGTTGGCATTAGCACTGCCTACCCTGCTTGACAACCCATTCAGGGACATCAGCTATACAATTGACCCATTGAGAGAAGGCAAGGGATACACCTGATGACTCAGCAAGGCATGCAGGGGCATGCTTATGAACAGAACTCTAAGGCTTCCAGGCCACATGCTAGGCAGCTTGTGTTTGGAACAAAGGAGATCAAGCTGCATGGCAAAAGATGATAAAAGGCAGCTGCACCTTCTGCTTTTTGTCTTAATTCCTGCTTCTTACCTCTGGAAGAACTTTGCAACAAACAAAGCTCTGAACAAAGGACTCAATGACCCATCATTCCATCTGTTACAGAAGGACTTTCAAGGCAGCAAACTCACCAATACTGCTAGGAACCTGATAGACTGTGATGTTTTTGTATGTATGTGACTGCTTTACCATTTAGCATCTCTCTTCTTGTTGTTCCTTTTTTCTTTATAATAAACCTTTAGTTTTAGACACTAAAGGATTGGCTGGCAGTGTGGTGTTTTGGGTAAGATCCAAACCTATACTGACCTGGTAACATGGCTGACCCTTTGGGATCAGGAGAACATTTTATATATGTGAGCAGAGTTTTTTAAATAACTACTCATTGTACTGGACCTAGGTGCTGACTGGGAGCTTCTTGATAATCAGTGTGGGGGATCAGAAGGGTCACAGGGCACTGAATCAAAAAGACTGGGCCCTGAGACATGAAGGAAGCTGCTCTGAACAGAGGGAGTGCCTGTGGCTAAGATTTCTAACCTAGGTGGGTCCATCTAACCGAAATTTAAGGAAAAAAGGTGTGGGGTCAGGAAGCTGAGAGGCATTCGAAAATAAAACATTTTCATCCCATAAGAGGTGTTTCTATTTAGTTTGAAAAATAGACTTGCCCTCATCTTAGGACAGCTCACACAAAACCCAAACAATATTGCCAAATCTTATAACAAATTAAACAGCAAGTTCCATAAAATGTTTAATTCTATCTATGCAGGGTTGTTGTAACTGTGTTGGTCCCAGGATATTAGAGACACAAGGTGGTGAGATAATAGCTTTTGTTGGATCAAACTTCCGTTGGTGAGAGACAAGTTTTTCTAAGCCTTTCTAGTGTCTAATACTGTAGTACCAATATCTACCATCTTCCATATACCAGAAAAAATATCTTCAAAAGTATGGCACACTATTATGCCTGTTCAATTATATACAAATTAACAAGTGTTACTTACTGGTACAATTTGAAAGTGCTTTATTTTTAGTCCATGGCTCATTGACAATACAAACGTTTTGGGGTTACTTTGGCTATCCCGTACCAAGAAAACCCTAGGGAGAGAGATTAGGAATTTTCAAAGTAAGCTCATGTTGAATTGTTAGAAATTTTTTGTAGCTTTCCGATGAACACTGTAATGAATTGCAAACACAGTATCAACATCAAAAATAATTCAACCAATTTTGTACCAAAGTTTAATTTCAAGAGTTCTGCTTTAAATCTTTATATGTTTTGAGAAAATATCAGAATTGGAAATACAAGCTTTAAAATAGTCTATTTCATCAAATACTGTCTCATGTGAAAAAAATGCATCTACACAATGATAGATATAAAGTATTTAAAGTTAACAGCTGCTGTATGTCAATGTCTAGGTGTAGCTCTTTATCACAGACATAAAAACATGTGTAAGAGTTTGCACTTTTAGCAAAGTTTTGACCAAGATCTTGACAGCTACCAAAAATCACAAATTATACAGGGATAGAATGCTAAGAATTGGCAGCCTGTGATTTTTCACATTGGAATTGTAAAAACTTATTTATTTTTATCAGAAGAAGCCACAGGCACCAAATCACCAGTAGATTGACATATGGAAATTTTACCTTAGAAAGTACTTCAGAGTGAAGGAGAACATTTCAGTTTCTATATTCAATAGTCCACTTGATACATTGCTACTTGTTTCTTTAAATCTTCCAATAGTATGGCTGGAAATTTCAAAGGACGCTAAGGGAATTAAGCACCTTACTCCCATTAAAATCAATGGAATTTGGGCATCTAATTCCCTTAAGGGCTTTTGAAAATCCCAATCTATGTGAGTGTTGCTCATATGGCATAAGAGCAAATGCATATAAGATTGCTAACTTTGCAAGCTGTTGGTTCAATGGAAAGTTTATAGGAGATATGGTACAAGACTTTATGCTGGCCAGATTGTTACAACTGGCAAATATATGCATACAACAAACATTAACATCTGTAGAGCAGGAAAATTCCCCATTCAGAATCAAACTCTCAAGCTTACAAGTTACTGGTTGTTTTATTGCAAGAGCTCAAGTAAAATATTCTTAACTATCAACAGACCCAGTCTTAGTTGGGCTGTTCGAAGATTTGAAATGCCATTCGAGACCAGTTTTTCTGACAGCCATTGTCCTGGGCACTATTGCAGCTGGGGGGATTTTGCAGCAGTATTGGCAATAGGAACTGCTATGCAGAAAGGATGGAATAGCACCTGGCATAGCCGTGTCCTCTGCTGCTTCAATTAATCCTTAGGTTCGAGGCTGGAATATGTACAGAGGAGAATAGCTTAAAGATATAGAACAAAGCAGTTGCTACAGTTGGAGTGGAGACAATCTGGACTGGATGAATTATACAGAACTGAGAGAGGGGTAACCACTCCCAAAAAAAAGGGGGGGGGGGAATGAAGAAAGAATCCATTGAAGGAGAAATCCACATGGATAGAGAAAATGAGTGGCTGCCTTTTATAGTCACCAATAGAATGAGAAATAGTCTTCTATCCTCCCCATGCACATGCTGGCAGGGTGTAAGGGTAGTGAGCAACTGGACCCCCCCCCCACACACACACACACCCTCTATCAGACAATTACATGCAAAGGAGAGGCTGTTAGGGAAAGGAAAGTTGTGTGGGAAAAGAGGATGATAGGAAGCTTATAGGGCCCTTCATTGGCTCATATAGGCCTCCAAACTGCTACACATTAATGTAAATCCCCAATGTATAGGTATTGTTATAATAACCATTAAGGAGGATTTATCTAGGGTTAGCAATTCTGAAGTCCTTGATCATTTTATATTAAAATAAACTAAAATTCACCAGGATGACCTCAGAACCCTCATGCTCGGCTCATTTGGAGACATGTCCATGGGGAGAAAAAAAAATACATATATTGGCAACTATGCATATATTATACCAGTAAAAGTAGCTAATTGGGTTTAAATGAGTTATATAGAGTGATGAATATACTTAGACTTTTCTAAAAAGCTCTCCCACACCATCTAGTGGCCTAAAAATAATCTCTTTGCCCTTTCCAGGGCTGTGCAAAAAAGTTTTCAGGCTATGGTTAGATCCCATGCATAAATCATATGGTATTTTATAATTCAAACATTAACATTAAGGACGGGCAAACTGGTCTGGAAAACATACAAACAATTTCATTATTTGAGCATGGCACTTTACAGATATTCAAAATAAGGCCCCCATCCTAAGCAGCCTACTGTCCAAATTAAACATTATGGGTAATTACATCAGACCACAAGAGAAGAGGCTGGAAAGGAGGATCATGACTCAGCCAACGCATTCATATTCATAATTTAATTTTAGGGCACATCATAAGGCCTACTCATTTCAGCAGCCTTGTCTCTTTGTTATTGGGCCTCATCCTTTGTTTTGTTAATTATTTATTTTTTAAAACTAGTTAAAGCCTTTCCTAACTCTGTTTTCATGTTAAGTGTGGATTATTTCCTATTAGATGATGGTGTCCCTCAACCCTAAGCTATCCTTGTGCATGCTTTAGGAGCTTTTAAAGCTTACATAATGAACGAACAAACAAAAGTATCCAGGGATATAGTTTTTGACACACACCTAAAACCCATCATCCTCCCCCATTAAGCCCACCCTATATCTAAAAACCATCAACCCCACCCCCCGACCTACACACACACACACACACACACACACACACACACACACGTACCTTGGGTGCCAAAGCCCAAATAACCCTGATTTGTAAGAAGTTCCCCGCTTGACCAGATGCATACTGAACTGGGCTCTTTGATGACGATGATGACAACGATATTACCCTTTCCATGCATCAGAAGCCTAGTTTTTTTAATTCCTGACTGTCAGCAATTTATTAACTAAAAAGCCTTCAAATAGCCACTAAGAGTCAAATATCATAACCAGAATCTCGCTGCAGCTTCTGCCATGCTTTAAAGCAAATATCATTGCTTAAAATTTAGTAGATCCAAAATGAAACATCCCAGAGTATGTATTCTCTCTCTACATACATACATAAATACACACACACACCCCCCATCAGTCATAAAATGTATTTTATTTATTTGTTGCATTTCCTAAGCTCCACAGAGAAACTAACAAACATGTAAACTTGGATTAAAAGTAAAATAGCCCCAAATGCTTTTAAAATTATTATTGCACTACTTCACCTAAACTTGGCATGTAGTAGAACTTGGGGAAAAAAACAGCATAGACACATGCAGTGCTCACAGACAAACTTTCCAGAAAATAGACAAGTTAGTAAAATTACTGGAGATTAGATCTGTGACTCATTAGTATTCCCTTCATCCCCTGAGAAAGCAGTTGTACCATGATGAGTCTCAAAAAATGCTTTAAAATTGTTGCTATCTGTAATTAGATTCAGCACTCTCTTCAAGTGATGGCACCATTATCAGCCTGCTGCAGTTCCTTTACATAATAGCCCTTGTTAAACTATTAACTTTCCTCTTTTATAAGCCAGTATGAACACTGTTTATCAGGACACATACTAGAACAGCAGCCTATTATCTGTTTGCATCTACATAGTGGGTTTCATTGCCTGGAACACTTATCTTTGAATTGACACCCACCAAGGCTCTGCATAAGGAATGGAGAATTTTGCCTGATACATGTGCAAGACTATACAGATAGAACATCTTATTACTCTCATGCAAAGCCTCTACATTAAAGGTGGTAGTTCATTTTTTCAGACAACTAAGCAAGTGAAACATTTGTCACATACTGTATTATCGGTGCCATTACCGCTAATGTCTAGTATACAATTTGGGCAGATATATCCGTGTTCAATACAAGCTGCCAGTCCATGGATTACAGGTTCTACCAGTTTCTAATAATTCTAGACAGTCTATTCAACAAGATCCCTCCCACCAAACTACAATGCACATCTCTCTATAGACACCAGGGTATTATCACACACTAACATTGTACAGAGGTAACTTTGGGTCATTTTCTAGGCTCAAATGCTCTTTGCTCCCCAATCCACTGTTTCTTTTAATTTTTTCATTTAAAAAGCAAGTTTTGCAACTTTAAATCTGCATACCTCAGAAACATTACTTGCTGGGTACATTACTAGAAATCTTACTTCCCTTTATTAGACCAGCTGCTAATATCATTGCAGTGAACAGAATTCAAGGAGGATGGAGCTCTTGGTTTTGCAGCTGAGATTCAGAGCTCCACAATGGAAAATGTTTTTAGCACTGTGAGCCACTTTTTGTGCAGCCCTTTCTGACAGATATAGGAAACTGTGTTAAATCAGTGATCTAAAGGGGTTTCCAATAGCATTATTCTGAGCTCCAGAAAGATTTGAAGTGGTGGCCCAATCTAATAGGTTAGATGGATGATAAGAGTTCATATCTGGAAGGCCAGCAGGGAGGCCAAAATAAGAGGGGAACTTACACAGATGAATTATGGGGCTTAGGAAGCCCTAAACTTTAAAAAAAGGTACCACAAAATGCAACTGTATTACAGCAAGGCAGGAGAAGAGATTTGGAAGCAATCAAATATTAAAATTTGGACAAATAAATATGAAATATACATTATCTTTGTACTTTTTTTCAGAGAATAAATATTTTAAATATTTAAAGTATATCATTAGAAGACTAAATGACTCATCCTGAAGTTCAACATTTACTCTCTCTCAATTACTTTCAAATCCGAGGTTGAGTTTCTAGCACTGGCAGTTGGAAGAATCCATTTGTAATTTGTAAACTGCGCACAGATGGTATGAAAGCCAAGCAATGTTTTCTGAGTCATCACTAGTAAGAGATGCTGGAATCCAATTTTAGGCCCTGATCTTACAGTTGACAGTGTAGATGACAGACTGTTGTGCCAATCCAGAGCCCATTGATTTCAACATGGCTCTGTGCAAATGCAGCAGTCCATCCACTCAACTGCAGGATCGGAGCTTTAGAGCACTATTTTATTGTTCAAGAAAGATCCCTAATGCAATCCAACTCGTTCTCCCATAGCTCAAATAATATGAATGTTTTTATTTTATTTCCATTAAGCAGATATCACGACACAAACCCTTCAATAAGCAAATAATGTTTCTATGTAGTTATTTTTCTGACCATAACTACAACCCAAAAAAGTTAAGAAAAGAAATCAGCTTACCCATCTACAAGTCCTTGCTGTAAAATAAGTCGTTGAGCTTCATCCCTAGAGATTTTATGGTGAAACCACAGTTGTGTTCTATGTATAGCTGGAAAAATAAAGATCATTGTTTTAATAAAATTGTTTTATCAAACATTATTGCGTCTCTTCTGGGGCTGTAAATGAATTCACACATACCTACACTGGATGTGGCACTTTGAGAAGTGGTAGGACTTCCATGTGTGTTGAGTCGTAAACACCCTTTTCTCTGAGTGGAAGAGAAAAAAAATTCATGTGTCGAAGCTTTTTGTGTGAAAATAAAATTAGAAAAAATACTTTGAAAAAGTAAAGGTGTTTATACCCGCCATGCTAACCCTTCTTCAACTGCAACTGAAAGGGCTTCTGTTGGATTTTCAATAACTCTGCTTCTATGTCCTGAGAAGTCCATTGCTACCAAGGAATTTTCTGAAATGCTCCTCTGGGGGAAAAAAAGAGGGGAATTCAGATTTTTGGGAGGGGGAGGGGGGAACGCACCTTATTTTGAAACTTTATGTTTTGCCAGTTGTGTTTCAAATTTTTGCAAGGTTTTCTCCTCTCAACCAAGATTTGTTTCACTTTGGACAACATTTGTAGTTCTAATTCTCTTCAAGGGAGACTATCCAGCTGAACTAAGGTTTGGCCAGTTGGCAAGATAAATGTGGGAGGAAGGAGAAGGTAATGGCTACTTAGTATCGTAAGACTTATAATGTGTCTTATTTTTGCATCACTGCAACCAATAGTACCTGGTCTGAAGATGCTTAAGGTACTGAAGACTGGTCCTCACCAGCTATAGCTAAGGTTGTGGATCTAAACTATCTCAACTTACTATTTATGGCTAGTTACGATGGTTGTCATGGGACACTGGACAAAAAAACTTTTGCTCTGCTTACTTCAAATGATAGCCTCCATCCACCAAAAAAGCCACAGGTCTGAACTGGAGTATGTGGTCTCACCAATGCTATAAAACTAGATCCTTACAAAATAACTGTACTCACACATGCTGAGAAGTAATTTCAACTTCCCTGAAACTCAAATACTGTTACCAAAAACACACACACACACAAAACCACCACACCCATTGAACCATTTCCAAAGGACTAAAAATTTCCAAGACAATTCTGTAATATTCCATCACTGATCTGTAACTCAAATACATTAAGAGAGAGGGTAAGTCCATCAAAGATGCAATTTCCTTTTCAATGGCCACACTGAATAGAGTTATTAAAGAAAACTGCAAATCATTAAAAAACAACGCAACCTTTTTGATGGTTAAATCATACACTGATGTGACTACTACAGTACAGTTGTGAAAATATAGCTTTTCCAAGGACCCATCTAAATTTAAGAGTGGGTATATGATGGGCCTACCTACTATTACAGCTTTTGAAAACGGCTAAACACGCACTGCTTAATATAATTTGGTATTCACAATGCAGACCTCTTTCAAACATAACAGTGCTATTCAACTCAATGAGCTCAGTTCCATGTGAATGGGTAGGCTGAGATGAGGTATGGGAAAGAAGAGAGATTATTCCATTCAGGAAGCCCACATTACTACACAAGTAGGAAAGCCTATTAAACTCCACACTTCAGCATGGACTCATCTGTGTCCAATGCTGTGGACATAGTATGGCCAGCCTGTACAGGCTGAAGTTAACCATATTTAGGCAAGAATTTTTCTGCTAGTGCTCAAAGAGCCAAAGAGCCTTATTTTTCTGAGACATCAAGCCGTTCTGGAATAGAGGATACCAATAACAATCTTATTTTGTCTTGTGTGGCTTTGGCACTTTCCTTTCTGTTCAAAAGCCCTTTACAACACCCCTAAAACCAGGAGGGGAAATTGAGATGCTCTTCAGACCCTTGGAGAAAGATTCTTATACTCTACTTTGTTTCTCCCCCATCTCTTTCCCCTCCCCCCATGCCATTTAAATTCAACCAAAATTGCTAAATACTTGGGGTATGTGTGACTGTACACTAGGCTTCACAGTCTAAACTTCCAATAGAAGTTTTTGTGGGACTGCTAAGAGAAATTGAGTAATGTTAGTTTGTATGCCTTCACTGATTGTAAGATCTACTTCGGTGCTTTTTGTTAAACTCCTGGCTGTTATGAAGGAGCATAAACACAGTACATGCAAGTTCTTGTATAAAATATTCTGAGGGTCAGGTTTGCAAAAGGGAAGTAATTTAATGTTTCATGTAACTGAGTAAACATGGATTCATGGACAAGGAAGACTCAAAGTTGGCACAAGCATTTGTATCTTAGGCACTCAGGTTTATAAATTGAGCTTGATACTAAGTACAGTAGCTCCACAACAACCATTGGTGGGCACTGGGATATAAATAAATAGAAAAACCCCTATCCTTCTATAATTTGAAGCAATGTGTAGAGCACAAAAAGATATGCCTGTGCAGTTAAAGCTTCCTAACCAAAAATATCTAGCCTTAAAATAGTCCTATTCGGTTACAACCCTAGAAAGATTACTTTAGAACTCAGCGTAGAAGAGATTTCAATAATAGGTATTAGGACAGCCTACTCCTATCAAAAACATTTAATTACAATTACTTCATCAGAGATCACAACTGAGTAACTTCAAATCCTGGGGCCATACCCTGAGCTGAAGATCGGGCCAATGAATTACAATCTGCTTAAACTTTTACAAGAGGTGCAAACAAGGACTGGATAAAAGGCGATGTTTGGATAAAAGGGGAGTTTAGAGAATGGGATCTGCATTGCTGAAACTGCTGTGAATTATGATTCAGGGATGTGAGAAATTAACTGCTTTCTGTACTGAGAATATTCTGCATATTCAATCTCAGTTTGATCATTTATATTCGTCATTTTTCAAGAGTGCTGCTGGACTGATTGGTGAATTGCTTAATATTCCGTAGCTCAAGCATGATGCAAATACAGGGCTAGATTCTCTCCTGCACCAAGAGCCACTTGGCACAGAAAGAGACACAGTGGGAGTGCATGGAATCAGTAAAGGCTCAACCTCCAGCTCCAATGTCAATAAGGGCAGCTGACCATTGTTCCGAAAGATTTTGGTAAGTGCTCACATGCTTAAAGTTAAGCACACGCATAAACGTTTCTAGGATCACAGACATGGGTTACATTGCTTCTGCCATAGGTTCCATTTTAAGTAGTTTACTTGCTCAATAAATTATTACAGTACATACCATAGGTGATATAGTCAGAGAACTGCAGCCACCTCTACCTTGATATGGTTGCATGTAATTCTGATACAGCTGCATTCCATACTAAAACCAAAAAAACAATATACCTTATCACTATTAAGTTATTGTGGGGATTTTAGTAGTACCACCTTGAAGTATTAAATAAAAATTATACAGGAGCTCCTGAATACTATACAATGAATTTCATTTAGAAAGATTTTGATTTTTATTAGCTTAATTACATTAATTTAAAAATAGAACTGCCTGCACAGACAATAGGAATCCTTGCCTTAGAAATAGATTTTTCATTATGGTTTTCTGACACTACATTTAAAGAGAATTCTCTAAGTACAAAACTGGAATGTATAAATTTTGATCCCTCAAACACAAAGTTGGCCAGAATGAGTAAATGGCTACAGTTTTCATTTTCTTAAGAAATAACTTACATGTATGTTAATTCTAGCCATTTATAGGCACTATATGACCCATTCTGCCTACCTTGCCACTAAAAGCAGACTCTTTCTACCACTCAAATAAGTTCTTGCATCATAAATCGGGGACAGCACCAGTAGCAGCAGTGCCAGCTTTTTCAACTGTACTGGAAATTCAGTGTCTATCTTCTTTATTGAGAGAAGTCAAAAAGAGCCCACAGTGTACAAAATTAAGGATTTTTATTACACTGAAACCTACAAGTAACCTTTGCTTCTCTAGTTCAGAATATAAAAGCATTTAACATAGTAAATTACTAGCAAGAAATTAACTTCACAGAAGATTTTACCTTAAGTAATCTAATTGCTGTCATCCAGCAGGTCCTACTCTGCTCATCATCTGCACAAAGCTGCTTCAGGTCTCTGGCTCCTCCTGCTTTGTTAGGCTAGAAGGCCACAGCACATTGTTTAGCATTAATGCATATCTTGCAGATAATACCTGTTGAAATAAAAGCCACTAATTCTCCTATTTTATAATAGACAGCTGAATCTTTTTTTAAAATCTTATCGAAACTTAAGCTTACCTAAGAACTGTAGCTTGCTTTAGCATATATCTATCAAAATATTAAGCCTGTACCTTAAAGCAGAATCCATAGTTTGCTGGTGTTCCAGACATCTTTTTGCCTGCCAAAGACATATACATATCACTACTGCTGAATTCACTGAAAAACTGCAGATGCCTTGGTTCCTGAAAGGAAAAGCAATATAAAACAATTAGCCCTTTTTACTTTATTATAAACCAATGAAGGAAATAATAAATAACTATATGAAAAACAGAAAATATAAATATTTATACAGTAAATTTAAACACATGATAAATATATCTCTTGGAAATACACTACAATCCATATTAAAAAAATAGATCTATCTATGCTAAAAATACATCCCTATCAACCACTCAGGTTTGCATGTGCCTAGGCCCTTACCATCAGTCAAGTTATGTGCTTTCCATCTATGAGGCTTATATACATCTGATCCAATCAGATTTGCATGCACCCAACCCTATTAATCAGGTTAGTTTGCACCTGGCCTCCATCAATAAGGTTTGTGCACAATGCATAAATTTTCATATATAATATGAACAATGGCCAAAATATAGCCCTCAATCAAAAATTAAAACCTTCCCTGTTGCATCGTATCTCCTCAAGTCCTAACTTCCGAACAATCTTTGTGTTGATAGATAGTAGTTTTTGAGATATCACTCAACAGTGAAAAGCAAACCTTGCAAGAAAAATATTCAGGCGGAGCCTAAATCCTAACTATTAAAAATGCATGAGGAGAAACCAAAACCACACTACATAGAAAATTAAAAGGGTATAAAAAACTAACCTGGTGTGAAATGTCACACCAACTGGCCACATACTTTTAGAGAAACAGGAATTTTTACTCCATTTTAAAACACAAACTTGACTGCATAATGTGATGATTATCTCGTCATCCAGCATTTCCTTGTGAAGAGGCTGAGTGGAGGAATTGTTTGTTTTGAAGGGAGCTGCTTGTTCCTTTTTTTTTGGGGGGGGGGGGGGGGGGGGGAGGGAGCGAGAGGGAGAGACTGTATAGCCATCTTAAATTACATTCTGTGCATGTGCCCCAAGATACAATAATAGCATTCCTCTTGTAAATAAAAATACCAAACACATTGCTTGAGGAAGTTTACAAAAATTAAACTTGCAATTTACCTTTACAAGGAAATTAACAGTAAGTTAGGAAAAGTATAATAAAAAGAGTAAGTTACACAGAACATCTTCAGGGAGAGAAACACTGAGCGCTTCCCCTTTTAGCCAGACAGCCTCTTTAAATACTAATAACTACACTCATCTGAAGCTCTTATCTTGTTCCAAATGGCAGCCTGATACTGTGACAGTAGAAGTTGAACTGACTGAAGAAATCCAGAAAAAGGTCACTGAACATTCTACCTGCTGCAGCAGAGGAAAATGCCCAAAACTAGACAAAGCCAAAAAGCAAACTTTCAGTTTTCTGTGAGAAAAATATGTAGCACCAGTGAACTGATTTCTGGAAAAGCATACATGAGATATAAGCCATAATGCTTAATGATTCATTACATCTTAAAATGTAACAACTTTTGAAGTCACTTTGCAGTTTATTTTGAATTCCCTTGTTTAAAAACACATCAGAAGAAAACAACATATTTTAGCAATTACTGTCCAGTCCCATTCTAAATATTAATTCCTTTCCCCAAGTTGAAACCAGTCAAGTTTCTTTTGTTTGCTTCTTTGTGTCCTCAATTAAATGAGGACAGCTGTGGAAATACTTTGACAGCTAACACAGAAGTTCAGACTAACAAAATCTTTATTCTAAGTGGGTTACATAAAAGTTCTCATCTCCAAAGCACCTTGTTTAACAGAGGTGTCAATAGTTATGCTTCCAGTACAGACAAAAAAAATTTAACAAGAAAAGCAGGGAGGAGGTATGGATACAGAGGGTCATGATAAAAATTGAGGCGCTCTAAAAAATTTCCTACAAATTATTTTTCCGCAAATTTTCTCCTTTCATTTGCTTAAAAATAAATAAATGCTCTGAAAGACAGGTCCAAATAGTACATTCAGGAACAACAGTTAACATTTGCTTATGTTCTCACCCTTCAGAATTCTCAGCTAGTAGACCTGAAATGCAGAATTTATTTTTAAAGAGCTCTGGTGTTGCCTGACTGAAAAATAAATTTAAATTAATATATTCAGAATGAACCAGATTTGTTAGGCCAGAGTACTCAGGTTTATACAAGAGATTCTAATTTATTCTGAAGCCCTGTTCTTATATATCCTTACTCCCACCAATCACGTTTTATCCTTAGAATGAACATTTGAACAGGAAATTGGGAAGCAAGGTTTTTTCCTTTAATTACCATGGATTGAAATAAAATTAGGTTAAAACTACTGCAAATGAAAATACACGCTTGCCCTATGCTTATTGTTCTCTGTCATATTTTAGACTTACCTTTGATGCCCCTTTAGTGGAAAAATACAGGCCAGATCTTCTCAAAAGAAAGTATAATTTTTTCCATGATGATTTCTTCCCCTGCTCCTTTGCATGCAAATAACCATGAATTTCAGGATATGTGCTGGAACTTAGGAACATCTGAAACAAAATATTGCATATCCACCTGAAGCCAGCTCTCTCTTCTATTAACATACTATTCAACAGTTTTGCCAACATTATACTAAAATTTAAATGTTTAAATGGTGAAAATACACACTTCAAAAATGGAAAATTATACACATGCCTCAAAACAGTGGGACCATCTACTTACAACAGCATAAAAGACACTGAACAAAGTTTCTGGTAACTAAAGGAGGAGGTTAATCCTTCAAAGATCCATCAGAAATTTAGAGAAGGCAATAAACAACACCATATAAAATATAAAACCCAAGTTCTTGCACCCTGAAAGAAAGAACAGCCTTCTACAAAACTTGAAGAGTTCAGATAGATATTCATGGCAGTAGTTTGTAAGTTTAATTTAAAATAATGCTCTAGGGTATTTTGTTTGTTTTTGTTCTGTTTTTAAAAGTGGTGGGTTAATGCCATATCTCCCAATTCTAACTCCTGCCAGCTGAAAAACCACTGGAAAGGAAACAAGGTTATAAGAGGTAGGCACATGCCATCATTTTGGGGTGAGGGAGCATATCACCACTTCTACACACAACCCCTCTCTCTACCACACAAAAACCCAAACATGCACACTTTGAGCACTGACTGAAAATTAAAGTACGCATAAAGTGACCCTGAAATCAAAGCTAAATTTCAAACCCTGAGGAGAAGAGCCTTCCTCCTAGAGAAAAAAAAATTTAGCTGCATTATTTTGCAAATACATTAGGCAGAAATATTCCAAGTCCTTGACAAGGTAAAAATTTGTTATTCCCTAGGATAGTTTGCAGATATCTACACAGTATGTTACCACAACGTTCTGTGCCAACGTGACACTATAGTTTTACAAACATTGAAGCCACAGAGAAGCAAACACCATTTATTATGAGGGAATTGGCCTTTAATAGACAGATAAAGGTACATATACTCCATAAAGAGCATTCCTTATTAGTTCAATGCACTGCCCTTGCTATTTGTATTGAATTTTCTAAAGGAACATATCACGCCTTTTGAAAATTTGACAGAATGCCCAAGAAATTGTATCAGATACTGGAACACTTCTTAATTCAACCCAAGAAACAGATTCAGCTCCAGGCCAGGGGTTCTCAATCCATTTCCCTCATATAAATCTCTCATCTTGGAGTTCTTTGTGGAGTCCCTGCAAGGGGTGGGGTCATGTGGCGGGTGAGCACAGGGGTTACTCATCTGACCCCCCAGCTTCTCCCCCCACCCCAAATTTCCCCACCAGTTGTTGTCTTGGCCCATCAGGATAAGCCGCTGGTAGGCTGGGACACTTCGTTTACTTAAGTTTACCTCCATGCCTGTGGACGCTCGAGGTAGACAAACCGTCTCGGCCCACCAGCGGTTTATCCTGATGGCCCGGGAGCCAAAGTTTGCCAACCCCGAATTATAGGATCGGTTTATCATAGAATCATAGAATATCAGGGTTGGAAGGGACCTCAGGAGGTCATCTAGTCCAACCCCCTGCTCAAAGCAGGACCATCCCAGCCAGAGCTTTGTCAAGCCGGGCCTTAAAAACCTCCAAGGAAGGAGACTCCACCACCTCCCTAGGTAATGCATTCCAGTGCTTCACCACCCTCCTAGTGAAATAGTGTTTCCTAATATCCAACCTAGACCTCCCCCACTGCAACTTGAGACCATTGCTCCTTGTTCTGTCATCTGCCCCCACTGAGAACAGCCGACCTCCATCCTCTTTGGAACCCCCTTTCAGGTAGTTGAAAGCAGCTATCAAATCCCCCCTCATTCTTCTCTTCTGCAGACTAAACAATCCCAGTTCCCTCAGCCTCTCCTCATAAGTCATGTGCTCCAGACCCCTAATCATTTTTGTTGCCCTCCGCTGGACTCTTTCCAATTTTTCCATATCCTTCTTGTAGTGTGGGGCCCAAAACTGGACACACAACTCCAGATGAGGCCTCACCAATGTCGAATAAAGGGGAACGATCACGTTCCTCGATCTGCTGGCAATGCCCCTACTTATACAGCCCAAAATGCCGTTAGCCTTCTTGGCAACAAGAGCACACTGTTGACTCATATCCAGCTTCTCGTCCACTGTGACCCCTAGGTCCTTTTCTGCAGAACTGCTACCTAGCCATTTGGTCCCTAGTCTGTAGCTGTGCATGGGATTCTTCCGTCCTAAGTGCAGGACTCTGCACTTGTCCTTGTTGAACCTCATCAGGTTTTTTTTTGGCCCAATCCTCTAATTTGTCTAGGTCCCTCTGTATCCGATCCCTACCCTCTAGTGTATCTACCACGCCTCCCAGTTTAGTGTCATCTGCAAACTTGCTGAGAGTGCAGTCCACACCATCCTCCAGATCATTAATACAGACAACAAACAAAACCGGCCCCAGGACCGACCCCTGAGGCACTCCGCTCGAAACCGGCTGCCAACTAGACATGGAGCCATTGATCACTACCCGTTGAGCCCGACGATCTAGCCAGCTTTCTATCCACCTTACAGTCCATTCATCCAGCTCATACTTCTTTAACTTGCCGGCAAGAATACTGTGGGAGACCGTATCAAAAGCTTTGCTAAAGTCAAGAAATAACACATCCACTGCTTTCCCCTCATCCACAGAGCCAGTTATCTCATCATAGAAGGCAATTAGGTTAGTCAGGCACGACTTCCCCTTGGTGAATCCATGCTGACTGTTCCTGATCACTTTCCTCTTCTCTAAGTGTTTCATAATTGATTCCTTGAGGATCTGCTCCATGATTTTTCCAGGGACTGAGGTGAGGCTGACTGGCCTGTAGTTCCCCGGATCCTCCTTCTTCCCTTTTTTAAAGATGGGCACTACATTAGCCTTTTTCCAGTCATCCGGGACCTCCCCCGATCGCCATGAGTTTTCAAAAATAATGGCTAATGGCTCTGCAATCTCATCCACCAACTCCTTTAGCACCCTCGGATGCAGCGCATCCGGTCCCATGGACTTGTGCACATCCAGTTTTTCTAAATAGTCCCGAACCACTTCTTTCTCCACAGAGGGCTGGTCACCTTCTCCCCATACTGTGCTGCCCAGTGCAGCAGTCTGGGAGCTGACCTTGTTCGTGAAGACCGAGGCAAAAAAATCATTGAGTACATTAGCTTTTTCCACATCATTGGTCACTAGGTTGCCTTCCTCATTCAGTAAGAGGCCCACACTTTCCTTGACTTTCTTCTTGTTGCTAACATACCTGAAGAAACCCTTCTTGTTACTCTTAACATCTCTTTATGAATGGGTCATAAAAAATTTCCATTTTTACTTATCCATCTTTGGGGGGGGTCGGCTTATAATTGAGTATATACGGTATGTTCTCCTAACAACATAGTAATTTGTCTTATACACTATAACCATGATCCTGTAAAGTCTTAAGCAGACATGTAACTTTATGCACTCTGCAGCATATTGTGTATCAGAAACTCATGTTCTGAAGCAATATTACATTTATTCTATCATGCAATACCCTTCATTCCCACATATTTACACCCTCATAAACACACACAGCAATAAATACTGAAATAAAATTATTGTTTTCTATGATGGTTATTTCAGGATGTGTTTTTTTTGTGTGGCAATCTCCACACCATGGGCCTGGACTATGCACAATGTTTTCTAGGCCGTCAGGTCAGAACCACCTTCCCCTCCTGTGTGGAAAGGAAAGGAGAATGCTGTAGCTAGCTGTAGTGGCTCATCTCCCTGGCTCCAGAGTCTTGGCAGTTGTGCTTTTCTCCAAGCTGTCTAGCTGATGAACTTGTATTTCTGGCGCTCCCTGCTCACTGTCTGAATGTTGGACGCCTGTTGTAGCATCCCAGCAATAGGATGGCTTCATGTCACAGAGCAAGAAGCATGCACTAAAACTGGAAATAAGGAGTAAATTTTTAATGGTGAGAGTAATTAGCCATTGGAACAGTTCACCAAGGGTCACGGTGGATTCTCCATCACTGACAATTTTTAAATAAAGATTAGATTTTTTTCTGCAAATTATTTTGGGGAAGTTCAATGGCCTGTGTTATACAGGAGGTCAGACTAGATCATCACGATGGCCTCTTCTGAGCTTAGAATCTGTAAGCTATGAGCCAATTAACTTCCTCTTGTAGGGAAAGCTGGAGACAAAAAGTTGCAGGCAGAATCCAGGAGAGCAGGAAGACAGAACAAAGTATCAGGCACCTGGTTGCAGAAAAATGGCTAATCCCACGGAAATATGCTAAATTCTTATGGCTACAGAATCACTGAGCCCACAGAGCCTTGAATTATATTAGAGCAGTTTGTATCTCAGAGCTATTGTTCCAGCCTTGCTACAGATTCAGACAGGCACATTGCTTTAATTACCATTCTCTTCATTTTTCTGAGATTTGCCCGATGGCCGTAAGAGCTAAACACACATTTTAAATGAAAAGGAAAGATTGTGGAGCACAATACTCCAGCAAAGGTCAAATTCTTCAGTAAAATTTTTTTTTGCCCACAGAATTGCAGAATACACAGGGTCCTCTATGTCAATAGTCCCATCAACAGGACTATTCATGCACAGAACAGTCTCAGAATCAGGGCCTAGAGCTGCTTATGTGAACAGTTTTCCAGCATTGCTCACAGCTGAAGGGACCAACATCTCCATTGCAATGTAGGCACTGTTCCACAATACAGCTCCATTTCAGCAGCCATAAGTGATATTTATTATGCAAGAGTGCACTTGAAGGAGGCATAAAAATTCTGATTAGTGAAAAGAAGGAAACGCTAATTTTGCTTTCTTATTGCTTTTGGTTTTGAACATTGCTTGATGAGCCCACAAATATCAAATAATGCGGGCTTCTAGAAGCAAGAAGTTTGAGGCAAAGACGTGCTAATCTCAACTTGAAAGTGTCTGAGATATTATCAAGGCAAAGAAGATTTTACGGCACATGACAAAGAGGAAGATGAATAACGTAAACATACAAATACATTATTTTTCAGGCACATGTGATAGTGAATAAAAAGACTATATTAAAGCTGTAATTTAAT